TAAAGTAGCCCAGAAAACACAACTCGCATTTTGGATTTTTTCCCGTCATTCCATTTTTACAAAAGCAGGTGAGCCGTGTGGAGGAGGTTTGTTGTTAATTACGTCGCCTATCGAAACGATAAAGACAAAGTGGTACTGAGTGACATCGGCACCAACAGGTGTTCGCTGTTACTTTACCTGGTCTATCCTGTGTGTGCGTCTTCTAACTTAATCATTTCTCTGCAAAGTGCCAGCTACCTGGTTGGTACACCCATATAAAGTCTGTCTGGAAACAAACTTTATATAGGCCCAACAGGTTTTACAAATTGTGAGTCTTCTTTACTCATGGTGGAGAATTTCCATGCTGAAGAAATTTTTTAGCATTTGTGTGTGTGTGGCTGAAAAGAAAGCAAATAAGATTACTTTAAAAATGCTGAGCTTTCTCTTTGAGTAAAGCTTTTGCATTTACAGTTGTAAAAAAAAGTTCTGCATTTGTTTGTTTCAAAAAACTAAGTACTTTGAACCAAGATGTATTATACTGACATTTAGTCTGTAATTACATACAGATCAAAATGAACACACCAGAACAACAATGAACGCTCACAAGTGCAGTCTTATTATTTTGTGGCACTCCATTACTATTCCTGAGATCTTGCATTCCCTGTGAATATTTGTTAGGCATGGTGAAATGGAGCAATCCTCAGGAGGTGAAGATAGCATGACACGGTGTGATTGCCAAATGACAAACTTTTGATGGCTCAGAGAAAAATGAAATTACCTCACTGACATCTTGAGAGATTACTTCTTCCCCCTTCCACACACACATCCAGACCCTTGTTTCTCACCCACCCTCTGCATCAGACACAGCACACATGGACACGGAGAAGAGCCATGAGGAAATAAATAGATAAATATTGAAATAAAATCAGAATCAAAATGCAGAAGCGCCCTGATTTCACCTCCGATCCCCAGTCTGAGCCAAAGAAATCGATGCCAGGACATTCATTTTCATGATGTCAGGAACCCGGGGGGGGGGGGGGGGGGGGGGAGTGGCAGGCAAGTTATCAGCGGTGGCTGATTACTGCTGTTTGTGTGTGTGTCTGTGTGTCTATATGTTTCCGCCTCGCCAAGATATCATCGCCCCAGACTGCCTGAGAGGTTGTTTGACTTTCCCTTTTTAACCCAGCGATAGGTAAACATACCAGCTTATACTGCAAAAACAAGACAGACATGTTAAAATGAGGGAAGGGAATGTTATGAAATCTGCAGGCATTTACAGAGTACTACAAAAACTCCAAGTCGTATGGAACATACTTTGAACAAGTATTTATTGTGATGCCAGCGCCAATAATTTACAAGTTATGTTTTAACAATTGCTCATCCGCTGCACTCCAAAACTGAATGTTTCATTGATAAACAATGGAAGTATGGTTTGTGCTGACGGACAGAGCAGGGGAAATATGTGCAAAGCCGCTGAAACAAACAGAAGGGGATTGGTTATCTAAATATATTGAGGTGCAGCAATTATCACCATGAGTTCTACCTCATCAAAACTTATTATTTCTCCACACAACCAAATCATTTTCACCTGGCAATAACATAGTGACTCAATATTGCCATGATGTGAGATCTGACTGGTCCTAATTTACATTTATTCATTTAGCTGATGCTTTTATCCAAAGCAACTTACAATTGCTATTTATGTCAGAGGTACGCACGCATCTGGAGCAATTAGGGATTAAGTTTCTTGCTCAGGGAAACATTTGTGTGTGGGGAGTTGAACCCGGGCCTCTCACACCAAAGAAAAAAATGTGTTAAATTGCATGTAAGAATGGGGCAAAGGTGTTTATAGCTATTTTGAATGGTCACACTCAAAGGCGGTCATCTAGCGGCTATGTAAGGCTGTACTTTGGCCCATCACATGTCCACATCAGCACGTTAACATGCACACAATAGCAATTATTGCTAATGTGTTGATAGTTAGCCACTATAATGTTTATCATGGTCACCACTATAGTTTAGCATGTTAGCATGCTAAAATTTGCCTATTTGCACTAAACACAAAGAGTAGACTGATGGAAAGGTGGTTAGTTCAGAAGGTATTTGGTTATAAACCAAAGGATGGGAGTAATTCACATTTTGACCTGTCTTTGATGAAAACCTATGATTATTACAGTTCATCCTGTGGGTAACTTGAATGTCTGTGAAAATATCATGGCAGTCTATTCAATAGTTGTGGAGACATTTCAGCCTGGAACATGGTGGTGGACCCACTGACCAAAGGACTGCCATCCCTAAGAATGAACCCAAATGTGATTTTGAATAAATACATTTCTCGGCCATGAAAGTGTCAGGCAATGTGTTATATATATATATATATATATATATATATATATATATATATATATATATATATATATATTATTAAACAGGAATGCAATATAAAGTGTGAGGGTGGGAAGCACTATCAACAAATACTGACTATTAAATGTATTAGAAAAAGTAAAAGTAAAATCTAAATTACTTACTGTATTATCACAGGTCCAGTATAATATTCATATAAGAAGATAGAAGAAGAACATATCTGGAAGGGTTTAGTGACTTTACATTCTTTTGTCTCATGATACTATAATATTTAAAAATATTTCTATATTTCTCAGTTGTCAGTATTATATTTTTACCTGGTAACTCTGAACACATTTATCTGAGTTTTTAGTAATTATCATATAAAAACAGGTTCTGTTCTTCTGTTGTAATCTGTTGAGTTTATGATGTTTTTCTCATATGATATTCAATTAATTCCAATTCACGACAACAGTTATCGAGCACGTCAGTCTAGGCGCCTATAGCAGCATAACTAAGGGATGGTTCAGGACTACCTGAGCCAGCCCTAACTATAAGCTTTATCAAAGAGGAAAGTCTTAACCTACTCTTAAATGTGGAGATGGTGTCTGCCTCCTGAACCCAAACTGGAACCTGGTTCCACAGGAGAGGAGCTTGATAGCTGAACGCTCTGGCTCCTAGTCTACTTTTGGAGACTCTAGGAACTACAAGTAACCGTGCATTCTGGGAGCGCAGTGCTCTGGTGGGGTAGTAAGGTACCATGAGCTCTTTAAGATAAGATGGTGCCTGACCATTAAGAGCTTTGTAGGTGAGAAGAATGATTTTAAATTCTATTCTGGATTTTACTGGAAGCCAATGCAGAGAAGCTAAAACAGGAGAAATATGATCTCTTTTCCTGGTTCCTTTCAGAACACGTGCTGCAGCATTCTGGACCAACTGGATATTCTTTATGGAAGAACCTTGTCAGGGAAGTATTCGCGCGGCCTGATAAAGAATTACAGTAATCCAGCCCACAACACATACATGGACTAGTTTTTCTGCATCATTTTGATACAGGAGGTGCTTAATTTTTGCAATGTTACATAGATGAAGAAAGTCCTTGAAGAAAGCTATGATAAACTTCATCATGCACAGTTGTGTTAACCCCGTGTTTTTTTTTTTAATTGTAACTAAATTCAGGCATCAAGGGGTGAAGGAGTGGCCAGCCAGTCAAATCAAGAGTCATACCACTTTAAAAAGCTACTTTACAACACGTACATACACCCTTGAAGGTGCACATGCATATAAACAGGCATGTGCACAGGTAAACAGGTGGAGCTCCTTTTGGCCTCTGTACCCTTTTTTCAAGACATTTATGACCTAAAAGAAGAAGAATAGCCCCATCCTCTCCCTCTTCACCTTGACATGACATTCACGTCTCCCTGACCTGCCTTTATTGGTGACAGCCAGGTAACGGTAGTGTTTGCCCCTAAACCTTAGCATTGTTTGTCATTGTAAAATTAAAAGAAGTTTAAATTAGTGCTCTGACACCACTGTTTATAATACTGATGTAGCGCTGTGAGGTGGGAAAGCAAAACAAAACGAAGTACCTTTGTATAGTCATATTTGTGCAAAAGAAATGTGTAACCTACATAGAAAAGATAGATTTTTTTACATTCCAGCTCAGATATTTACTAATCCTAATCCAAATAGTTGAATTGTTCTCTCCTATAATCAGTATTGTTTTGGCAAAAAACAAATCATGCCTAGTGCACACTAGAGGACTTTCAAATCTTAAAAATGTGGGATACCACAGACAGAATGACAGAATGAACAATTTTTTATATTTTTGTAGACTGCTTTTTTGAAGTCTCGAGTTTGGCCGTTTGGCCATTGCCAATTTTGCAACCAGGAACCGGTCAGTCCAGATGCAGGACCACACACTTGATATTATCTAATTTGACTGCACAATGAAATTTATTGCATGAAAACATGTCAAATGTGTTTTTCTTCATGAAGAGTGTTAAAACATGGCATGTTGGTGTGTCATTAAGAAAAGACAATTTGTGGGTGGGGTGAGTGCCCCTATTTTGATTGAGCCCCTTTCCCCAAAAATGTCTGTGCATGTCCCTGCATACACATGCAATCAATCACACAGAAACTTATATTTATTTATTTATTTTTCAGGAAGTGTTCCACACTAGCTGATGTAATACAAAGGCTGAGTTCGAAAAGTCTTTTTGGCTTAGGAAGGTTCCTAATGACCCGGAAGTGTTTCAGTGGCAGCCATGAGAAGAGCTGTTCGAATTCTCTGAAAGCTAAGGAAAGGTGCCTCAATGCTTCCTTTCATATCTCCTTTAGCATAGGGTACACAGGACCATCCTTTACGAAAGGAAAGGAGAGAATGCTGTCCCACAATTCCTTGCGGCGGCAACATTTAAAGTGACGCACGTTCTCAAACTCAAATGATAAAATCCATTGACCACATTCCCCTGTAGTGTGTGTGTGTGTGTGTGTGTGTTCCCTTCTTGCAGGAGTGGAGTCAGGTGTGCAGGAGCCTGTCACCAGCTGCCAGCCATAAGCCTCATTATGCTCAGCCTTTTATACCTGGTCCTTGCCTCCACTCAAGGCCAGATTGTGGACTCTCGTTCCCAGTCAGTATTGTTCAAGCCGTTCTTTACTTAAGACTTGTTCCTGTACCTGTTCCCTACTAATCCTGTTCTTTTGTGCCGCAGATATCCCCGCCTGGTCCATCTCCTACAACAATTCCACTCCTGCTCAAGTGCGCCCGAGACTGTGGGCCTCTTCTCTTTTATGCCTAACTAACTTGCTAATATGCATATCTTACACACATATCACAGATTTGCACTCCCTCGGGTTCCTGCCCTACTTAAGCAGTGGCCTGACATCCTGTCCTCGCCGGATTGTTAAGTCGTCTCAGTACGTCTTGGCTACCAGCTCGTTTGATTAGGAACCATACCTGTACTCTGTTTGTTAAGCTGACAACTAACCTGTTTTTCCTGTGCTCAGGATCTCCACCAACTCACTTTCCCCGCCTCCTGGATCTCACTCTCCTGCCTGTTACCTGTTTGCCTCTCTGCCTGGACCCCATCAGCTTCCTTCACCTGCCTGCTCTGCCTGCCCCGATCCCCGCAGCCACGGCCAGCTCTTTGACTCAATAAATCTCTGAGAACCAGCTCTTGTCTCCAGTCTATTCCTGGGTCTTATCTGAAGCGTGACAGTACAATCCGGCCAGATGGACCCAGCAGACTTGGAGCCTGTCCAACATCCAATTGCCACCCAGGGTGCTCAATTAAATCAGCAAAGCCAGGCACTCTGGGAACTTACAAGGAACATGCAGCAACTGACAGCCAGTATGGCCACACGGCGGGCTCACCTTCCCCCTGTGTCCCAGGCCCCCCCGACATCTACGCCACCAGCTCCAGCCGCCGCGGCTGCCAGAGAGCCGTTCGTGCCGTCGCCGGACAGGTATGATGGCAATCTTGGACAGTGTAGATCGTTTTTTGATGCAATATGGACTTTTTATGGGTTTTTGTTCAGCAGCCCTTGACGTACACCTCTGATGCGGCTAAGATCGCGTACACCATCAGTCTGCTACGAGGCGAGGCTCTGGAGTGGGCAACCGCCGTGTGGGAGAGACAATCTGCGGCCACTGCTTCCTACACAGCCTTCACCCAGGAGATGCGTAAGCTTTTTGACCATCCTGTTCGCGGTAAGGAGGCCGCCAAAAGATTAATGTCTCTTCGCCAGGGGTCCCGTAGTGTTGCTGAATATGCTATCGAGTTTCGTACCTTGTCTGTTGAATGTGGTTGGAATGAGGATGCCCTGCAGTGTTCGCTAACGGGCTCAATGAACAGCTAAAGGATGAGCTAATTTCCTACCCTGAAGCTAATGATTTGGATGGCTTAATCTCCCTTGCTATTCGTGTGGACAACAAGTACTGCGAGCGCCGCAGGGAGAAGAGTCGATACCGACGGCCCGAGCCGACATCCTCTCCCTCCAAACGGTCCCCGCACCCCGCCGATCCGACCCCACGACTGGTTGTTCCTGTCTTGCCTGAACCTGTCCACTCTGTGGACTCGGATCCTGAGCCCATGCAGTTAGGAGGCCACCGCCTCAGACCCGAGGAACGGCAGTGCCGCCGTGATAACAATTGCTGCCTGTACTGTGGTCAGTCTGGACACTACATCTCTGCCTGCCCTCTACGCCCGTTAAACTGGCGGGCTTGCGAGAGGAGGGAAGCATCCTGGCGAGCCAGACAACCACTTCACTGGCTTCACGACCCCGTACCCAACTTCATGCTACCCTCTCTTTTAAAGGTCAGTCTCTTGATTTACTAGCATTTATAGATTCAGGGGCCGATGAGAGCTTTTTGGACTCAACTCTAGTGAAACAACTTGGGCTGTCTGTTCACGAGCTTGAGACTCCTGTCGAGGCCAGCACCTTAGACGGTAGGTTACTAGCATGTATAACTCACCGCACAGACCCCGTCCAGTTCCTTCTCTCTGGTAATCATCTAGAGTCTCTGAGTTTTTTTGTTATGAACTCTCCCTTCGTTCCTGTCATCCTCGGTCACTCCTGACTAGCTTTACACAACCCCAGTATTGACTGGACCAATAATAGAATCACTAGTTGGAGCACTTTCTGTCATTCCCACTGTTTGAGATCTGCCTGCCCCCAGTCTAAGCCAGCCCCGCCTCCCTGCCCCGAGCCCCCTGATCTATCCTGCGTCCCCGCGGTCTACCATGACCTCAAGGAAGCCTTTAGCAAACAACTGGCACTTTCACTTCCCCCTCACAGGCCCTATGACTGCGCCATTGACCTGTGGCCTGGCTCCAACCTGACCACTGGTCGCCTGTACAGTATTTCTAAGCCAGAGAGAGAAGCGATGGAGACTTATGTCACTGAATCCCTAGCTGCAGGTATTATCCGCCCTTCCTCATCCCCTTTGGGCGCAGGCCAATGTATCGACTATAGGGGTCTGGATAGGATCACAGTTAAGAACAAGTATCCCCTGCCCCTCATGTCCTTGGCCTTCGACTCCCTGCAAGGGGCACATGTGTTCTCTAAGTTGTACCTGGACGACATACTCATTTTCTCCCACAGTCTGTCAGATCACATCCAGCATGTCCGCTTGGTCCTACAGAGGTTGTTAGAGAACAAGCTGTTTGTAAAGGCCGAGAAATGCGAGTTCCATTCCAACACTGTCTCCTTCCTGGGCTACGTCATTGCGGAGGGACAAGTGAGGATGGATCCAGCTGAGGTGAGGGCTGTTTTGGAATGGCCTCAGCCGGCCAATCGCAAGCAGTTGCAACAGTTTTTGGGCTTTGCTAACTTTTACAGACACTTCATCAGGAACTTCAGTAAGGTCGCAGCACCTCTAACCCATCTGACCTCCACAGTTAAGCCGTTTGCATGGCCCCCTGAGGCAGAGGCAGCCTTCAAAGAACTTAAGCAATGTTTCACTTCCGCACCAGTTCTCACTCAGCCAGACACATCCAGGCAGTTCATCGTTGAGGTGGATGCCTCCGACGTCAGCGTGGGGGCCATCCCCTCTCAACGCTCCGCCCTTGATGGTAAACTACACCCCTGTGCCTATCTGTCCCGCCGTTTGTCCCCTGCAGAGCGTAATTACGACTTCGGGAACCGGGAGCTACTTGCTGTCAAACTGGCATTGGAAGAGTGGAGGCACTGGCTGGAGGGGGCGGAGCGCCCATTCCTCATTTGGACTGATCACAAGAATTTGGAATACATTCAGTCCGCCAAGCGTCTGAACCCCAGGCAAGCCAGGTGGGCATTGTTCTTTGGTCGTTTCAACTTTGTGCTTACTTTCAGGCCTGGGTCCAAGAACACTAAGCCTGATGCCCTTTCCCGTTGACGCCGACGCGATGCCGTCTCATAATTACGTCGCCTAGAAAAGAGCAGTTGGATTCCCTTAGACCCGCCGTCCTCTTTTCCAAAGTCCTTATGAATTCTCCTGATAGAAGACAGCAGATCAGGAAGAAAGGTTTCCCAAAATGTTTAACAAGAAACTAAAATCCTCTTGCTGTGTTAAAAATGTTATATGCTGATTCTCATGTTTGCGCTTACCTGCCAAAAAGTTGAGGTGATGTCAGTCACTAACATGCATTGAACATGACCATGTCTTTCTGCAAGTTCTAAATTTGTTTCCAAGCCTAGCTGTAGCCAAGATTAATAAGCAATGCAATCAAAATTTTATTTTTTCATAGCTCCTGCTTTGGCAATGATTCAGGGTTAATAAGGTGAATCATAAAAAATAGACAAAGTTTTAAAAGTCTGAATATCCTTTTGAGTGGCTCTGCATATACATGTGGAACATGTGCTGTGGATCTTTGCAGTGCTCCCTCTCATCGCTCCAGGCAGGTACCTGCGCACTGGTTGGAAATAAAAGGAAAAATATATTCTCTTTTGGTTCAGCAGGTACTGAAATGATTTGATTTCAGGGGCATGGAATATTTGCATTTCAGCCATGCCTGAACACGGACCTGAACTTAATGTATTCAGTCTCCACTGATCTGGGAAAGCAGTTGCTCCAAACCCAGAATATTGAGTGGTTTCACACCAAAGACTAGTCATATAGAAAGAGTGCATGGAAGCACAGCAATTTTCCTCGCCTCTCTCTCTCTCTCTCTCATGCCTGTTGAATGACACTGTGACAAAGCAGCCCTGTGTGTTTGTCTGAGGGGACAGGTGTCTGCTAGGCAGATGGGTGATGACAAAGGCAATGAAGGTAACTCTGGTGGACTGTAAGAGGGCATATAATGTACAAAAATGAATCATTATTCTTCTGACCTGAATACAGGTTGGCATGCTCATCTGTTGCTGTAAGCCAGGTAAGTGGAGCTCCAATTTTACAATCTGGATAGCTAATAATTCAGGCATCTGAATCAAAATCTATTTTTGATTAGTAGAGCTTCAAATCTTGGTCTAGGTCGATAAATTAATGGATGTGCCATTTCCCCCAATTGCTCTGCTGATTAAAGAGCTTTTTAAAAAGATCATCAGGGGTGGCATCAAGCGTCATTGACAAGACATTATAGCCAAAGTGAAGTGCCTCTAGGCTGGCCTTAATAAATGTTAGCTTGTCGTAGTCACTAAGAGTGTAAAGATTATAAATTTCCCTTCCTCAATATCGCTTATACCTCCACTTCTGCCCTGACAGTGCCACACTGCAAATTGCCAGTCAGAAGCAGTAGTGGCCTATGGGTTGCTCCTTTTGATCACGCACCCTGCCTTATATTTGATTTTCTTGTATAAAACTCTGAGGTTAGGGTCTATGCGATTCATTGAAGTGAAAATTGTACGCTGGTACAAATCTTCACAGTTTATTCTAGGCTAGTGACTCCCCACCAGAGGTGCCTGTTATTTTTGCATTACCACGGGGTACCCCTATCATAACCATCGCTGAAGCCCTTAACTCCGAACTGCTCCGGGAAGCTGCTAAGCAGTCAACAGATTAAATTGAGATGGTACAGTGTAGCTTTCAGGTCTGAATATGTGTAACTGTGTAAATGTGAACTGAGTGTTTTGAAATAGAGAAAATTTCTCTCAATGTTATCTTAACATTCTATTGGATGGACTGATGCTACAGTTGTTTTCACAGACAATAATGTATCCCAGAGGATGGATCCCTCTGACTTCTTTCTACTGCCACTGTGAGATTCACATTGGTGGCTTAGAGTTTGATGGACTGAAATTTGGCATTTGACATTCACGTCCTTCATAATATGATCCCATAACCTTTCATGTATCACCCCCATCATATTAAATTTTTAGTAAAGCCTTTAAATTCCAATATTATTTGAATATGCCTTAATATTTAAAAGTGCATATTCCTTAATCCATTTCTAGGAATTGCTGTGTGTGACTTCTAATTGGCTTGCCATTCCTGCTCCACATGCTGCTTTCACCAGCAGGTACTGTAAAACTAATACTCCAAAACATAACACTGGAGGAAAACCAGTCCCATGTGTTGAACACTACAATATGAAAAGCAGTGTTCCACTGCCCTCTCAGGTTGAAAATGTCAAGTGTATTTCACTGCTGGTCACATCGCTGCAGCAAGGTGAGAAGTTAATCAGCAAAAACAAGATTAAGTTAGTAACCTTGCAAATGTTTGTCTTGTTGTAACAGACTTTTTCCTTGATTAGTGCC